CAGGAGTAAAACAACTGTTTCTGTTTTAGTTACTGATATAACTACAAATATAACTAAAGAGCATCCTTCAGCAAGAAGTGCTGCTTTAGTTTTAAATGCTAGTAATTCAACTATTATGAATGCGCAAGCATAGCTTGCTGTAACTTCTGGCTGCTATGAAATAAAGCTATGCACCTGATCCATAGCTTGCTAAGCAAGCTATGGATCAGCAGAAATAAAGCTATGCTGCTACGCTAGGGGTGCATGCTTTATGAAATAGCGGCTATATTGCATAGCCTTCGTAAAGCTAAAGCTAAAGCTATTAATATTAACAATAAAAATTATATATTATATAAAGGAGGGTTCCTTTATTGGTAAGAAGGGTTGAGCTGTAAACTCAATAGCTATTGCTTTTAAGAGTTCGAATCTCTTGTCTCCTAGAATTAGTAACTTAAATAGGTAAAGGACTTCCCTGTCACGGAAGTAGATGTCGGTTCGATTCTGATCTAATTCGTGTAGCTTACTGCTTTAGCTCTAGCTTAGTAAGCTAAGCAAGCTAAAGCTAGGGAAAAGTTTCCATTGGTAGGGTAAGATATTTGCTAAGTATTATGTTTTATACATTTAGGTGTTCGATTCACCTCTTTTCCGCACCCTAAATGCTTCTATAGCTCAACGGTAGAGCATAATACTGTTAATATTATGATAGATGTTCGATTCATCTTAGGGGCTTTTAATTTGTATACAAAACTGTAAAATTTATAATATATAAAAATATGACAAACTTAATAAGAAGTAATTTTCAAGATCACCCCTTTCATTTAGTATCACCTTCTCCATGACCATTATATACAAGTATTTCTTTATTCTCTCTAACAGTGAATGGAGCATTATCAATGCACTTGTTTAATAATAGTTATATAACATTTTATTTATCATTAATCACATTAATAGCATCTATGTCTTTCTGATTTAGAGATATAATATCAGAGGGTAAACCGAAGCGTATAGTTTTAAAAAATACATTATATTATTATTTAAATATTGCACAAAAAATTCCTTCTAGCGACTTAGAAGAGGCTTTATCTATTTATAAAAATAAAAACAATACTACTATTTTCACTAATAATAATAACTTAGGTTATTATTTAGCAGGTCTTTTAGAAGGGGATGGTTCAATTTCTCTTCCTTCTTTAGGAGTTACAAGTTTAAATAGAATACTTAATCCTAGAATAGTATTTACTTCCCATGCTAAAAATATAGGTATGTACACATTTCTACAATCAGAATTAGGCAATATAGGCCGTTTCCAAAGATCAAGGGAAAATATCATTCGTTATATTATTGGAGATAAAGAAAGTATTATTCTTTTGATAAATTTAGTACATGGAAAACTTAGAACACCTAAAAACAAAAGATTTAATGATTTAATTAATTTTATGAATAATAAATATAATTTAAATATATCGGAAAGTTTATTAGATAAATCTAGCTTTACGGATAACAGTTGATTCTCAGGTTTTAGTGAAGCAGACGGACATTTCGGTATAAAATATGTAGAAAGTAAACCTAAATCTGAAACTCGTAAAAGATCTGTAAGTGAAAATGTTTCTTTAAAATTTAGATTAGATCAACGTTTATATGATAAAGCTACATCATCTTCTATGAAACCCTTTATGGAAGAATTAGCTTTATTTCTTAACGCTAATTTAAAAACATATAAAAATAATACCAATTCGGAAGTATTATCAGTTAGTGTACAATCCATAAAAAATATAAATTTTCTTATAGATTATTTTAATAAATTCCCTTTAATAGGAGATAAGCTTTCTGACTATAAAACTTGAGAAATAGTATTTAATATGATACTGCTCAAGCAACATCTTAGTGAAGAAGGAAGATTAAAAATAAGAAATCTATTAGTAAAATAATAATAATATAATGTATATATGTGCTCTCTTTAAAATTGATAATTTGCTGGAAAACCCTAAAATTAGGACAATCAGCAGGAAACTAAAAGACGGATAGATATCTTTTAGGTCTTCAGAGACTAGACGTCAAAGATTAATACGTTATATTAACCTATTAATTAAGGTATAGTCCAAAAATATAGAAATATATTTATAATTTATTGACATATTTAGGTAATCACACCCTGGCTGTACAAAAAGGATTAAATCTAGGTGTAATATTATTTATAGTATCAGAAGGTTTATTTTTTGTAGCTATCTTCTGAGCATTCTTCCATAAAAAAATCGCATTGTGGATAAGAACCAAACTCCGGGGAACTCCTAAAGCTCTAATAACTAAGCTATATTTTAAAAGATTTATAGTGGCCTGGTTAATGACTCAGGGTATAGTAACATCATTAGAGATTCTTGGCTTAAGCCAAGTAATGGATAATCGCGGATCTAAATCAGATAGTCATATATCTGTAAAAGAGCAACGAGCAGATGGTTCTTCAATATTTAGTAAATATTGTAAGGTGTGCTCTACGAGCCAGAGAAACTTGGTTTTTATGCATCCTCTTATTAAAAGAGATGTTAATACTGTTATATATGCATCTACTTATAAATTTATAAGTAATAGACAAATTTTCAATAATAGCGAGCTTGCGCCGCGCACTCAAAAATCTTTTTATTCTAATAAGGTGACACCCTTTAATACTAACACTAACACATTAAACCCTAACTATATTACAGGGTTTACAGATGGAGAAGGATGTTTTACAGTAGGAATTAGTCCAGACTCTAAATATAAAACAAGTTATAGAGTAAAAGCTACATTTCAAGTAGGCCTCCATGTAAATGATTCTGCTTTATTAAAACAAATTAAATTGTTCTTTGGGGTAGGAAATATAACAAAATTGGGTAAAGAATCTGTACAATATAGGGTGTCAGGGTTAGATGATTTGAATGTTATTATTAATCATTTTAATCATTATCCTTTATTGACTAAAAAATATTCTGATTATTTACTTTTTAAAGAAGTTATAGCCTTAATGAAAGAAGGTAAGCATCTTACTTTAGAGGGTTTAAATAGAATAGTTTCAATTAAAGCCGCATTAAATAATAGAGAGTTATCTAACAATTTAAGTTCAGCTTTTCCAAATATAGAGTCTATTTTAAGACCGGAAACTCCGATTAGAAATATACAAGATCTAAATTGGCTGGCTGGTTTTACAGACGCTGAAGGGTGTTTTTTAATAGCATTAAAAAAATCTCCAACTTCTAAATTAGGGGAAACTGTTTGATTAAAATATATTTTAACTCAACATAGTAGAGATAAAGTCTTATTACAAAGTTTAATTCCAACTTTAAACTGTGGTAGATATGTATCTAAATCAAACTATGGAGAATTTGTAGTTGAAAAGTTTACAGATATTCGGGATAAAATAATACCAATATTTGAAAAGTTTAAATTGCATGGAATAAAAACCAAAAATTATGAAGACTTTAAAAAGGCAGCGATTATTGTAGAAAATAAAGCCCATTTAACTCGAGATGGGTTAGATGAATTGAAAATTATAAAGGGTAAAATGAATAGAGTGCGCAAGCTAGAAAAACAGTATTACGTAGAGATGTATAAAATTAAATCAACATTTGTAAACATATTTCTTAATTAAATAAGAAAAAGTATACAAAAAAAATGAGTGCTTTAACACCTACTGTGGAATTAGGTGCTCAATGACCACCTATGGGTATAGAACCTGTAAATCCATTTGAATTACCGTTACTTAACACAGTAATATTATTATCTAGCGGAGCTACAATTACATATGCTCACCATTCTTTAATAAAAGGTGAAAGAAAAGGAGCTTTATATGGTTCTATTTTTACAGTTCTATTAGCTTTAATCTTTACTTTTTTTCAAGGAGTAGAGTATAGCGTTTCTTCATTTACTATTAGTGACGGTGTATTTGGAACATGTTTCTTCTTCGGTACAGGTTTCCACGGGTTTCACGTTATTATAGGTACAATATTCTTATCTGTGGCCTTATGAAGAATATATTCATACCATTTAACAGATCATCATCATCTTGGTTATGAAGCTGGAATACTATACTGACATTTCGTTGACGTAGTATGACTTTTCTTATATGTATCTATGTATTATTGAGGTTCTTAACCCTTTAGTTTCTCATACATACATAGCTTGTGTAGTACTTCTTTAGCCCCCTAAAGGTACATACGACTAATATAAGAAAATGCTTATAAGCGTCAAAGGGAAAACGTTCAGTGTAAGCCTGACAGGCGATATCACCCTTATGGCACTAGTTTAATTACTAGAATTATTTCCTAGTAATTAATCTAGGTATTCGATTCCTAAATTGGTAGGTAAAAAATGGCAAAAAATGTATTATCAACTCCTAACGGTACCTGAAATTTTTTCCAATGGTTATTTAACCGGATCTTTAGATATTATAAGTATAACAGCCTTATTGTGCGGTATACTTATAATAATAAATAAAAATCCCATCGTATCCGTAATATTTCTAATTGGATTATTTGCAAATATTTCTGTCTATCTAATATTGTTAGGTTTAACATTTATAGGTCTATCCTATTTAATTGTATATATAGGAGCAGTCTCTATATTATTTTTATTTATATTAATGCTTATAAATATAAGAACAAGTGAACTACAAAGTAATAATAGAAATAGCGTATCTTTAGGCCTATTTATAACAATTTTATCTAATTTTACACTATTCCAAATACTTCCTTATTACATGGCTATATTACATAGCTATAGTAACAAACTAAATACAGTATTGTATTTCTTACCCTGAAATAAATTCAGTGATATTTTCAATTATATAAGTAAGAACCTAAATATTGCTAGCACACATGTTATGTTTGCGGCTAGTAGTAATTGAGATAGTAATGTGGCAGAAACAGGACATATATCTGCTATAGGTAGTATCTTGTATACTAGCCATAATATGTGAATATTCATTGCTAGCTTTATCTTACTGTTAGCCATGGTCGGTGCTATTGTAATTACCATCCGGGTAAATCAAAGAAAAATTAGTTCAATGGTAGAGCGATTGTTTTACACACAATAAGTTGAAGGTTCAAATCCTTCATTTTTCAAGATTCCTTAACTTAAACGGTAGAGTGCATTTTTGATAAGAATGATATCAGCGTTCGATTCGCTGAGGAATTAATTAGGCTATAAAAGAGAATTGGCCGAGTGGTTTAAGGCGGTAAGCTTGAGTCTTATTAGGTTATATAATCTAGCCACATCCGTTCAAATCGGATATTCTCTGAAGAGTGTAGTTTAATTGGCAAAATAGGAAGCTTCAACCTTCAAATTCTTGGTTCAAGTCCAAGTACTCTTGTTGTTTTACGGATTAGGGCCGGCTTGGGTAGGCACTTCGTTTGGGACGAAGACTAGTTATGTTCGAATCATGATAATCCGATTAATATTAGATACGCTAGAGATAAAAAGAATAGCAATAATCTTCTTTAGTTTGCTTTAGTAAGCTAAAGAATAGCAATAGTCTTCTTTAGCTTGCTTTAGTAAGCTAAAGCAAGCAGTAGCTCCGCTACTAAATATAAATTTAAGTCTATGCAATAGAGCATAGCGCACGAATTAATAGCTTTATTGCATGCGCAATAAAGCTTTAGCTTGCGCATGCATAAAAATATAAATTTAAGATTATGCAATAAAGCATAGTTTTAGCTTGCTTATGAAATAGCAAGCTAAAGCACGAATTAATTACAAAATAAGTATAAATTTTGATATATAATTTATAAATGTAATTTATAAATTTAAATTTACAAATTATATAAGTATGGAAAGAAATTATTGTAGAATTTAAGCTATATATTAAAGAGAATTATTTATATAAATAGGTTGCAAGCTAAGCATTAAAGCTAAAGCTATACCTATAATTATATTAACTCTAAGAGAAATCTAGTAATAAACGAAGTGAATTGAAATATCTTAGTAACTTTAGGAAAAGAAATCAAAAGAGATTCTATGATTAGCGTGAGCTAAAATAGACTAGCCTAAAAAGTAAAATGGTAGATAAACTGTTTAAATTAAATGGGGAACCTTCCTCAAAGGCTAAATATAATATATAAGCGATAGTGAAAAGTACCGTGAGGGAATTAAAACAAAAACAGTAATTTTATAAGCAGTTCGGAAAAATAAAAAAGTTAGAACGTACCTTTTGCATAATGGGTCACCAAGTTAACATTAGATGCGAGATTATACGTAGTTAAACCGAGCGTTAAAATAACGGAAAGTGTCTAAAGTTAGACCCGAAGCCTGGTGATTTTACTATAATCAGGATTATAAAAGTCCGAACGGAATATTGTAGCATAAATATCCGAAGAATTATGGTAGGTGTAGTGAAAGACAATACTGACCAGGATAGCTGGTTTTCTGCGAAACCTATAATAGTAGGCAATTTAAGTATAATATCTTAGCAGGTACAGAATTTAATCTCAGACAAGACATATAAAATGTTTTATTTTGTACAAATTGGGGGATCATGAAGATTTTATCAGTGAGTATGTAGACTCGGAATGGCAAAGATATATCTTAAATCATCAGACATAGAATGATAAGGTTGTATGTCAAAAGGGAAACAGCCCAGAACAAGAGTTAAGGTTCCTAAATTATTAGTTGAGTGAAATTAAGAAGGTTTTTATTAAAGTCGACAAGGAGATAGGCTTAGAAGCAGCCATAATTTTATGACCTCGTAACAGAGCGCTTGTTAAGTTTTAAAAGCATCGAAAATTTATCGGATCTAAACAATATACCGAAACCTTGTCCATAATATTTATAATTAAAATAATAGTTATAATTAAATGGGGTAGCAGAACGTTGAGTTAAATTATGATTTTTATTTTTTAAATGAAATTATAATAATTTAACTCAAGTGATAATGGTGACATGAGTAACTAAAAGAAAATTTTCCGCCTAAAGCTTATGGATCTAATTAAGTAACGGCCTCTAAGTTTATATTATCTAAAGATTTAAACGATGAGATAATCTTTTTTACTAAGGACGACATTTAAAGTGAAAAATGTACTGGAAAAATAGTAATATATTTATTTTTAGCCCTAGCCTTGCTATTTAAGCAAAGCCCGCTTTAGCTTGCTATTACATAAAGCAAGAAATAAATGAAAAGTAACCGTACCTAGAAACTGAAACAAGTAAGCTAGTAGAGAATACGAAGGCGTAAATGAGCTAACAATCATAAAGGAACTCGGCAAATTGACTACCGTAACTTCGGGATAAGGAGAGCTCATTATTCTTGATTAATATCAAGTAAAGAGGAAGAAGCATGAAATAGTGTTGTACGACTGTTTAATTAAAACACAGCACTTTGCTGAAAGATTAAAAATCTAAGTATAGAGTGTGATGTCTGCCCGGTGCCGGCTGGTTAACAGATATAATTAGATATACTAATATTTGATGTAGACGGAAACCCCGGTTAAAGGCGGCCTTAACGTGAGGGTCCTAAGGTAGCGAAATGCCTTGGCCGTTAAATGCGGTCTTGCATGAATGATGTAACGATACAACAGCTGTCTCTATGATTGACTCAGTGAAATTGGAATAGCTGTGCAGATACAGTTTACCTCTAGTTAGACGAGAAGACCCTATGCAGCTTTACTGTCACTAATTATAGAGTATGATAAACAATTTTCAGATTATAAGGTAATTGACAATATGACAATGAGAATCCTTTATTTTTTTTTCATATGAATGAATTGGTTTAGGATTATGAGTTGTTAGTGCTATGAAGGTTATGCAATAAAGCTCTATTTAAATAGCAAACTAACAACTCATTTTAGTAAATCAACCTAATTCAGCTTATTATTATTTCACTAATTTACTAGTGAAATAGATAAGTACCCTTTGGTAAGGAACTATCGCTAGGGGACAGTTTATGTGGGGCACAGA